CAGGCTGTAGTCTCTGCTCCAGCCCACCAGCTGTTCCACCCCCTCTCTGTAGTCGAGGTTGTTGTTGTCTCTGATGAGGCCCATCACTATCGTGTCGTCTGCAAACTTCATCATGTGATTGATGGTGAACCTGGCGACGCAGTCGAGTGTCATTAGAGTGAACAGCAAGGGGCTTAGGATGCAGCCCTGAGGGGAACCTGTGCTGAGAGTGATGACATCGGAGGTGTGCTGTCTCACCTGGACTGACTATGGGTCTGTCTGTGAGGAAATCTAGCCAGTTGCGGAGGGGGTGCTGAAGCCCAGGTGTTCCAGTTTGCCTACTAGATGCTGAGGAATGATTGTGTAGAATGCTGAACTGAAGTCCAGGAACAGCATTCGTATATGGGTGTTTTTCTCCTCCAGGTGTACCAGGCTCAAGTGAAGAGTGGGAGAGATGGCGTACTCAGTGAAACAGTTCTGCTGGTAGGCAAACTGAAACGATTCAAATGTGGAGGGGAGTCTGAAGACAGTATGTTCTTTTACCAGCCTTTCGTAGCACTTCATCATGATGGGAGTCAGCACAATAGGCCGGTAATCGCTGAATGAGGGGACTTGAGATTTTTTCTGCATCGGAATGATGAAGGCAGTCATGAAACATGCTGACACTGTGGCTTGGTCTAGCGAGATTTTAAAAATGTCTGTTAGAACACCAGTCAGCTGACCTGCACATTCCCTTAACACCTGCCCAGGTATCTTGTTTGGGCCTGGGGCCTTCCCTGGGCTCACTTCCCCTCAGTGTTCAACACATCAGCTGTGTCAAGGGGGGGGGGGGGGGGGGGGGGGGCGGGATGATTGTAGTCTGTAATACTCCTGGTGTTGCTGGCATTGTGGAAAGGTCCTGGACTTTCCAACTGTGACTACACTTTGCCAACATGATGGCATGGTTCAACTTGGCTCTCGCTGTCCTTGTTGCATGCTTTTAGCATTTGTTGTACCTTTTTTTGTCATCCTTTTTCCAGGGTTTTTGGTTAGATGATGATGTAGGCTGGAACATTATTTTCTAAAACGCACGAAACCTAAGCAATAATAATGATCTGACGTGAGTTGATGTTACTTTTACTGTAAGGACAACAAGAAACTAAGAAGAGGGAAAGACTCCTTCATTAGAGGACAAAGTCAATGCAACATTATCAGTAAACAACAGATGGCAGACTGCAGTCATGCAAGCCTGATTGCTCCATCAATAAATCAACCTGGAGACAAACAGCACCTATAGTTGTTCTTGACATGCTTATTTGTGTGAGATTATGCAGTATATCTCTAAAGTCAGTTTTAATTACGGTCCTCTATGGATAACTTGATGTTGAATGTAACATTTTACAATTTTAACAAATAACACACATCTTACCACAGAAAGTCTGTCTTTAAAACTTTAGAGCACACGATTTGTTCCATTAACCGATATCAGCAAAGTCTATTACTCACATTTGAACAGAAATGTTGTGATTTGTGATATAATATAGTAATAGGGCAGCACGGTGGTGTCGAGGTTAGCACCGTCGCCTTACAGAAAGTAGGTGCTGAGTTCGAGTCCCGGGGGACCCAGGACCTTTCTGTGTGGAGTTTGCATGTTCTCCCTGTGTCTGCGTGGGTTCTTTCTGGGTTATCCGGCTTCCTTACACAGTGCAAAAACCATGGCTATTTCATTTTAGTAATACAATAAATCTGACATACTCTAAATTAATAAGATTGCCCAGCAGAATTTGAGGCCTTTGGCAATTCAGTCCTTATTCAAGCAGCAGTCCGTAATTAATTCAAGAGAAGAATTCGGTTTATAAAATGGTCATCACTCTTTAAAGTGAAAGCACCAACGATGCAATGCTGCCATCAAGTTTTAAAAAGTTCCAGTCTGAGTAATGAAAGAAATGTTATTTTTGCAAATTGGCAGCTAAATATTCCTGAAAAGATTTGTGCAGTTTAAAAAAAGGTGAAAAAAAGCTTACCTTATACACCAATGTCAAAGATTGCTTAGCTTGTGAGTATATAGATAGGCTGTAGAAATGCAGTTTTCACCCATCCAGCCTTCTTTAGCAAAGCAAATGTGTGTACTCAGATTTCAGTTCTGCTTCCATAATGCTGAACAGGACAAGGTATACATTTTTTTTTAATGCACAGTTCATACTCATGAAAAACTAAATGACTGAATAAATTATTTAGTTAAATATCTGCATTATTGAGAGAAATTTCCTCCTGGAGAATAAACTAAATTCTGCCATGGCCGAATCTTTGCAATGTGAATTATCTTGTTTCTCAATGCTCCCATATTTAGCAATAGAACTTAATAACTTAATATTTACATTTTTGATCATTTTCTCTTTGCAGAGTAATGACTAAAAATTCAGCTCACGATTTAGCAATAGTAATATTTTTTCAAACATTCTAACAGTAATAATCGAATATTGTGTATATAATATTCTTAATTGGATTTTACAGAATTCTATGTATCTAATGTATATTCATTACTGAAGTTCCATTTCCAGTGTATAAACACACTGTTAGACTATTACAACTATTACATTTACAGTATCAAATTATATTTTTACTGTGGAGACTATAGATAAAAATAAAAATGTTGATTCTTTTTATAAGTTGATAGTTATAGTTTTGGGAGAAGCACATAAACTGTTCTAAAATGGTTTTCTTCAAAGTTTGCTCACTTAAAGATCTTGTAGACCTATTTAGCTTGGTCTTGTCAGAAGTTAGTTAGATTTATCTGAAGCAGTGACATCTTGTGTTATGCATAAATTAACTCAGAATTGTAATCAAACACTAATTACAGCAATGGCTTATGATTAATTCTTTCAATAACCTGAATTAGTTGCTCTCTAATTAGTAAATACTTATGCTTGGTCCTTTGCAGTGATTTTGAGTATGAGTGTGTATAAAGACATCTTTATCCTTATTATCTGACATCTTTGCTTGCTTCTGAACATGTCTTTGTCAGCATCTATACAATTATAAAACAAATTGAGATGCATGTGTAGGTTCAGACAGATATTTGCTTTTGATGGAAATGGACTTAAAATCTTAGTCTTTGAAGTCCTTACTTCAGGTCCTTACTTTTTCTTGCAGTGAAATATGACAACACACAGAACATCAGAATGGTCAAACAGCAGAGATCATCTTTAGGGAATGATTACAGTACACTTTCAGTACATAAGTACTTATGGAGGCACTTATCAATATTCTGATAGTAAGCAGTTTAAATATGTTTACAAAACATATATTAAAAACTCAAAACCAAATAATTATTGCAGATATATTGTAACATAAAAGACAATTCTTTATCAAACATGTGGTGATCAATTGATTGGCAAAAACTCCTAATGATTGTATCTAATACAACCTTCACTAGTCACCCTTGTCTCCACTTTACTGATTTTTATACTTTTTTCATATATGGCATCTAATAAGAACAATTGGAGAACAACATAGAATAGAAAAGTAATTCATACAAAGCATTTTTTGCTTGTTATCACAGTTTCTCTCTGTCCAGCAGTGTGGGCAGTGCTTTGCCTGTGTTAATTGTGAAATTAAATGAGGAGATGTTAAGACAATGAATAAAGAACCCTGTACTAATTTACATACTCTTTCCTACATTTATAAAACAATGGTAAAAAAAAATCTAACTTTAAGTATGTCAGTTCGGTTCTGAGCAGCTCAATTCCTTACTAAATCTATTAAACATTTTTTTTACTTCTTTACATTTTAAAAGTCCAGTTCTGGAAGCATTGGCTCAATACTCGGCTTGCAGGTGCAAACCAACATTACACATTTGGTAACAATTCTGAAACACAATGTAAATGTTTTTTTTATTATATTTTGTTTTCTGAGATTTAAATTGTTTTTTTAAAATGTAAATTAATATATATACGTGTCTTACGTCTTGTTAATATGTTTTATGAAATGTATTTTTTTTCTATCTATCTATCTATCTATCTATCTATCTATCTATCTATCTATCTATCTATCTATCTATCTATCTATCTATCTATCTATCTATCTATCTGTCTGTCTGTCTGTCTGTCTATCTGTCTGTCTGTCTGTCTGTCTGTCTGTCTGTCTGTCTGTCTGTCT